AATTATTTACTATTTAATATATTAGCTAGAGAATTATTCTTATTATTACTACTATAATAATAGATATTATAGAGCTATATTTATATAATATTTCGTAAGCTTATATCTAATTAATAACCTTACTTAATTATAATTTTTATATTAACTTATCTTGCAAGCTTACTAGAGAGCTAAATCTAAATAATAATTTGGTTCTAAAGGTTATGAAATTACTATATAATATACCGGAAGCTAGGAATTACTAGTTTAAGACTTATTATTTCTACTATATTAATAAGCTTTCTATAAAATAGTTAACTTATAACCCTTGCCTTTTCTATAGTAAGTAATTCTTCGGAATTATTAGCCTTTAAACTAATAATACCCTATTTATTAGAAATAATAATTTTGTAAAGATAAAGTAACTAAAGCTCTAAGAAACTAAGTTCTTGGCTAAGAAGTATAAATGCCTTACTATTAATTATAATCTCAAGTTTAACGGAAATATTATTTATATAAATACTACTAGAATTACTCTTATATAGAAATACTAGTATTAAAACCTCCGAACTATTTCTATAAAGAATACTACTATTATAAGTAATAGGGGCACTATTTATTAAGATCTCTTTATTAAGGACTAATATATTACCTAATATACTAAAGAAATATATATTATATTAATCTATTAACTAGAAGCTTTATATGACCTATTAATTATTATTTAAGCTATTAAATTCTCGGAAACTAATATAAAGGCACTTAATAAGCGTATTTAATAGTAAATTAAGAATACTACTAGAGAACTAAGATTCGTAAAGCTAGTAAAGAAGTTCTTATATTTAATTATTTTTACGAATGCTTTATTTATAAATAATAGAGATCTCTTTTCCTAAATTAGATATATTATAGTTCTAGTAAATAGAACTAGATATACTAATATTATTTACTAGTTCTTTACTAAATATAAGAGAGTTACTAGAAGCATTCTAGCTTTAGAACTTTATAGTATAGCTTATGGCTTTAATATAGGCGCTTTAGTTAAATTTATAATTAATAGAATACTAGAAATAGAACTATTACTAGTAGTCTATATAAATTTAAAGTTATTATATAAATGCCTTATTAAATTGGGAACTACTTAAGAAAAGTATCTAATAATTAATATAATATGTCTTTACTAGGTATATAAATAATAAGAGATTATAGAAATTAAATAGATTAAGGGAGAATTAAATCCTACTAATTCTATAACGAAATTAAAGCTAATAAATGCCCTTAAGTACCTAATTAATACGAATATTATATAATTAGATATAAAGGAATAAGTTAAGTATAAATAGGGCGGGAAATAAATATATAAGATAGGAGGATATTATGAGAGGAGAAGTCACGTGCAAAAGGCCGCGGCCTTTAGTATATAACTAAAATCTCGGAAGTAATATAGATATATAAAGTGTTTGGGAAATCTAATATTAGGCCGGATTAGGGAATTTGTATGTAATTAGAGGGAAATACTATTTTTCGCGTTTTTAGAGAGTTTCTAGTATTAGTATAGCTATTTCTTTGGGAGTCACGTGCATAGTCACGGGATACGGGATACGGGACATGGGTAATAGGATATGGGTAATAGGATATGAGTAATAGGACATGAGTAATAAGATATGGGATACGGGATATAGGTAATAAGATATGGGATACGAGATATAGTTATATAACCTCGCATCTTATTAGTAACTCGACTAGTAGACTAGATCCCTTTAGGCTTAGTAGATTTAGGAATTACATATTAATACTATAATACTATAATTCTTATTTCTGAATAATAATAACTTTACTAACTAATATAACTAGTATTTCCATATCTATATAATAGTATTATATATTACTAGTAAACTAATAATTAGAAAAGATTAGATTAAATTAAAGCCCTTAATTTTATATTTAATTTAGTTTAGTTTTTATTATTTTCGTATTAATTTTAGTAAAAATATATTAGATTAAAGATAATAAATAATATAAGTAAGCCAATTAGAATTATTTTAAGAATTTAATATTATTCTTTATAATTAATATTAGTATTAATATATATAGAATATAGAATTCCTTATTATTTAATATTATTTTTATATAATTTAAATATAATTAGATTATATTAATATATTTCTTAATTTTATTAAAAAAATTAAAGTTATTTAAAATAAAATTCCTAATAATTTCTATTTTATTTTTTAATCGAATTTTTTATATAATAAGAATATAATTATTTATTTTCGGAATAAACTTAAATTAAAGAGAATTAAAGGCTCTTTTTATATATTGATTTTCTATTTAAATAACTTTATTATTCGTAATAATTAAAGGCTTAGAAAATAATAAAGAAAAGTATAATTAAAATAATATTTTTAAAGAAATCTAATATATAATACGAAATCTAAATTAATAATCTAGACGCGTTCTTTTATAAATAAGAGCCTTTCTTATTATTTGTTCTTTTCTTTCTTTATAATAATTATATTAGTTTAATTATTATTTCTTTTATTATTAATTTTCCTATTATTAACTTTTAATTAAAATTATTATATTTCTTGAATTATATAATAAAATACTATATTTTTATAAATATTTTTAATTAATTTTTTAAAGCTCTTTAATATTTAATTCTATATTAAATATTCTTTTTCTCTTTTTATAATTCTTATAAGTTTAGTTCTTTTCTTAAATTAACTTCTTTATTTATTAATCCTTAAGACTTTAAATTAATTAAAACTTATATATACTTTTATTATATTTAGAATTATATATCTAGTAAAGATAAGAACTTTAAATATTATAATTCTAAGATAAAAAAGCTCGAATAATACTATAAATATTACTTTAAGACCTATACTTTTAATAATAATAATATAGTTTATTATTAAATCGTATATATTACGTGGCACCAGTCACGTGGTGCCACTGCACGTGACTTAGCATGTAGCTAGTGCTTTTAGCCCGGTATATAGCCTTTAGCTTAATTCAAGCTCTTTACTATTACTATAATATTACCTTATCGTGATATATGGTAGTAATATAATAATTATAATCGATCGACCTCACGATACGGTACAAATTACCATAGTAATAAAGTAATGTTCCCCTCGCCCCTATAGAAAGAGCTTCCTACCACGCATACCTTTACTAGTAGAGTTATCCGATTCCTTACCTTCCCAAGTCTTTATTTGGCTAGTATCCCTCTATATTAGGGTATAAGGCACATATAGTAGTTGTAATTAGGAGGTTATTAAGACTGGATATGGCGCGAATAAGGAGTATAATAGAGAAGGAGGCAATATATAAGTAGGGGGCATATTTTGGGATATATATTACTATAGCTTGTTTTGCAAGGCCCCTGAGAGTGAGATATAAGCTCTTAGGGGAGAAGAACGCTCCATACTAGTAGACTTCTTATGAGTAGCCTAGAATAGCTATATTGCAATGAGGACGTCGTCTTTTGAGTCTAAAGGGAGGGACTTGTTACGTGATACCAGTCACGTAGTGCTACTACACGTGACTTAGTATATAGCTAGTGCTTTTAGCCCGGTATATAGCCTTTAGCTCAATTCAAGCTCTTTACTACTACTGTAATATTACCTTATTATAATAATATATATTACTAAATCATATACTTTTCCTTAATATTAAACTTTAAATATTAATAAATTAATTATAATATATTAAATTAACTAAAACTAATCGAAATTTAATAAACTAGATATATTTATAGCTTCTTAATAAATTCGCGTATTATAACTAGCTTTTCTATAGATCTTATAGACTACCCAAATAATTACTGCTCTTTATAACTCTCTTTTATTATATATATATTATATTATACTTACTTATTTATATTTTTTTATGATATAATATTCTATATATCCTTTATAATAAGTATATTATCTTAATATATACGAGCCTTTTTAGCTTTATAATACTTGTTTAAGACTTCGTTTACTACTTGAAATATATATATTTCTATAGATAAAAAGGTAATTTTATAGGCTATTCTTTCTATATCCTTTACTAATATAGTAACTATCTCGAAAAGTAGAGTTAGTAAGCTTTCTTAATAATAGGCAATTCGATTTTAAATAAGAGTTATTTATAAAAGAGCTTTAGCTAGATTAGAAGAAATCTAGAAGACCTAAGAATTAGTATTAGTAATAGAGGATTTAAAGAGTATTAGAGTTCGTAACTTTATATTAAGCTTTAAAATTATAGCTTATAAGTTAAAAGGTATTACGATAAGGTAATATTATAGTTGTAGTAAAGAGCTTGAATTGAGCTAAAGGCTATATATTCGGCTAAAAGCACTGGCTATATACTAAGTCACGTGTAGTGGCACCACGTGACTGGTACCACGTAATAAGTCCCCTCCTTTAGACTCAAAAGACAATATCCTCGTTATAATATAGCCATTCTAGCCTATCCAAACAAGAAGTTCACTAGTATAGAGTATCCTTCCTATTCCCAGGAGCTTATATCTCACTCCTAAGGGCCCTATAAGAAGCAGGCCATAGTAATATATATCCCAAAATATGCCTCCTACTAGTATATTGCCTCCTTCCCTACTATACTCAAATCGCACCGTATCCCACTTAATAATCTTCCAGATTGCAATTACTATATATACCTTATACTCTAGTATAGAGAGATACTAGCTCGAGGGAAGGTAAAGATAAAAGGTGACTTTACCGCAAGGGTATAAGTGGCAGGAAGCTCTCTTTGCAGAAGCAAGGGAAATATTACTTTATTGCTATAGTAATTCGTACCCTATTATAAGGTCGATCTTAATTATAATTATTACATTACTACTATATGTCATAATAAGGTAATATTATAGTAGTAGTAAAAAGCTTGAATTGAGCTAAAGACTATATACCCGGCTAAAAGCACTGGCTATATACTAAGTCACGTATAGTAGTATTATGTAACTGGTATCACGTAATAAAAGGCATTAAGCCAGCTCTATAAAATTCAATCTAAGTATTTTGGGCTATTATTAATTTCTTATATACTACTATAAAAGCTAAAAAGAACTTTACTTTTATAATATAATTAATATAGGCCTTAATAAATATCTCAATCTACTAACTATATACCTGTTTTAATATACTAAAGTACCTAATATTAAGTGGCTGGATTAAATGAAATAAATAGAGAGGTAGTTTAAAAGTTATAATATTATATATCTTATAGTATTCTTGAAACTAAGCTAATTCGTAACTCTTATATTTATTTAATACTAGTATTTAATATGGCCCCTTTATATAAGTAGTAATATATTTATTAAAGTATTTTAGTTATTCTAGACTTGTTTTATTATTTGTTTATTTATTACTTATTAGTTTAATAACCTAGTTAGATAAGAGGCTACTATTAGTATATTAGTTAAAGAAGTAATTCTTGCCCTAAATTACTAAGAATAGAGAAATACTTTAGCCTTTATTATTAATATAGGTAATAGCTATAGTCCATTTCCTATTCCCTAACTAAACTGCCTTACCTTTACTATATTAATCTGCGCGGGTTATAATTATTATAGTATAGATTATATTTATTATAAATCCGGTCTTATTAAAGTTATAGAAGTTATAGTTCAAAATCCTGTATTTTGCTCTGATATTTTCTACTAGTCAAAACCATATACTAATTAGCTCAGAATCTTTATATAAGGCCTTTTAGAAATCGTAAATATAATTAAAACGCGTTTTAAGAACTAGTTATTATTATATAAATTAATAGGTCTAGAGTTTACTAATATGTCCTGCCTTTCTTAATTTCAGAATAAAATTGGCTATATCTTTAATACTAGCTAGCTGCGGTATAAATCCTCTGGAATCTAGCTCAAATATATTCTGAGAAATTACCTTCTTTTCTAGTATAATTAACTTATAATAATTGAGTTATATTTTATTATAAGAAGTTCGGCCAGCTATTTTATTATAAAATATAAATTGGGGAATTCTATAGATTTTTGTAGTAGACTAATAGCTTATTTCTCCAGAAGTTTAAATAGCCTTAATAGCTAAAATAATTCATGTTTCTTGGGTTTGGATTTATATTAGTAGTTATTAAGAAAATGCGTATTAAAGTTTAGGGAAAGTAATAGGAAGAAAAGTATACGACTTAATAATATATATAACTTAATAATAAACCACATTATAACTATTATAAAAGTCTATTTATTTAATAAATATTAAATCTAAAATATTACTCTTTAAGTTATAATAACGAAAAAGCATTAATTATTTATAGAAGAAACTATTATTAATAGAGAATATTATTTATAATTATATTAGAAACTTGATTTAATAGGAAATTCTATTTTAAGTAATCTTTTCTAATATTTATATACTCGTTTCCTAGTAACTATTAATCTTCTATTAAAGCTAGTATAATTTAAAGAGTTTCGAGACCTTTTATATTACCTAAACCCTAATATTAATAGCTATCTTCTAATCTTTTATTTAATTATTTAAAATTAAGTAAATAACTAGATAGCGAGTCTATATTAAGGAACCGCAACTACTATACGAGATATGCAAGATATAGAATAAACTCTCTATATCTAATTAGAGCTTAGTATTTGTTCTTAGTTTGAAATATAGAGAGCTTATCCGTTTAGCTACTGCGAGAATTAGTTTCCCATACTTAAATATATTTGCAAAATCAAAATTAATTAAAGACCTTTTATAAAGATTTTAGCCTTCTAATTTGCTATATTAAGTTTTCTTGAAAAATTACAGGCCAATTTAATACTAGCGGCAGATAAACTAATAGGCTTTACTAGACTTATTTATACTATTACTAAGGGTCTTGAAATAATTCTCAAAAAATAATACCTTTACTTAGATTAAATATATAGTAAGCTCTTTTATATAATAAAGATAGAAAATGATATATATTATTAATTATTTAATAGCTAAGTACTAATATGCCTTTAAATTCTTCTCGCTCGCTAATTAATTAATTCTAAAAGTCCTATTATTATCTCTTTAATACTTCTTTCTTCTTTTTTCAAATATACTTAATACTATATATTATTCAAATCTCTATAATAGCGTCTTCTTTTACTCACTCTAGCTACTTCTTTAATCCTAGCTCTTCCCTATATCTCAATATCCTTTTATTATATGAAAATAATATTAAAAAGTTTTAAGATACTCTCTTATATTCTAAAAACATACTCTTATAGCCTAAAGACGCTTTCTTACTATATAAAAACACTCTCTCAAACGTTATAGATATCTTCTTATAGCCTAAAGACTTTGCTATATTAAGTAATAACTATTTCTAATATTATAATATTTATATCTTTAATATAAGTAATTAAAGTATTATAATAAGTAATCTAATTCTTATAAATAATATTATAAATACTAATTTATATATTATAATAAAAATTATAATTATTATTATAAGCGACTTTAATCTATAAAATAAAAGCAATATTATAATAGAAAAAGACAATTCTTTATTATAGCCGGGAAACTATTATATTAATTCTCTTTATAAGCCTTTATATAATAGCTCTTTAATATTATATCTAAATTATAAGTAAAACCCTTTATAGTTAATAATAAAGTACTTTTAATTTATATAATTTCCCTAAATATTAAAACTCGCATTTAAGCCTTTTATAATATTATTTATTTATAGAATTAATAATATATTATAATAAAAGAGTAATATCTTAATAATAATAATTGAATTAGCTTTAAGGCTATATATATTTTTCTACTAGTATATAAATAGTATTAGTAAACTTATAATTATAGCTACTGGATTTTAATTGCCCTAAATATAAGAGAATCTATTAACTCTATATAAAATAAGCTATTACTTAAAAGTACTATATATTAATTATTTAATATATATAAGTTTTTAATTAATTCAAATATATATATCTTTATTTCTTTAAAAAAAATATACTAATTATAAATTTAAGATAATTATAAGATTATATACTTTAAATAAAATAAAAAAAATATTACTAAAAATTATCTCAATTAGTAATTTTTTAATAATTCTTAAAGATTAGCTAAATAGCTTTTATATTAGTATTTTCGGTAAGCTATTTTAATTAATATAAAGGATATTAAGAAGCTAATATTCAAGTATAATTTCTCATCTAGCTCTAATATAATTAATAGTATTTTTAAGGGTTTAAATATTATTTAAAGAATAGAGTTTAAGTTATTTAATTATTTTATTATTTAATTTGATTTAATTAAATAGAAATAATATAATAGACTTATATAATAGCCGTTTTGACTTTTTATATAATAAGGCAATTCGTATTTATTTCTACTTTATAATATTATTACGAAACCGGGCTCTGGGCTTGGAAAGCAGGTAAAGTGGCTCTTAATCCGAGGATTCTAAACTAAAGAGGGAAGCTCGTAAGTACAGGAGCTTTGGTGTTCTAAATACTAGCCAGCCGCATGCGTTATCGCGGTCACGTGACGCTAAATTTACTAGTAAAGCAGTGAAGCGTAATAAATATACCTTAATAATTATAGCTAAATTAAAAGAAATATATAATAAGATAAATCAAGATTTATTTGAGTAATTTAAGTAGTATACTCAAGATACTAAGAGCTATACTTAGACTGATTTCGGTATAGCTCAGGAATATAATAGAGGTAATTAATAGATTAGTAAGGCATTAGAGTAATATAAGATTTTAGTAAGTAGATTATAGAAAACAGTAACTAAACCAGTTAAAAGCAGTAGCTCGTTTACTATTTTTTTATTAAATAGAGTAAATAAATAGGTAATAAATAGGTAAATAGTAAATAAATAAGAATATTATAAAATTTTAAGAAATTTATTACATTTAATTAATTATAAATAAAAAAAATTAATTTAATATTATTTATTTTTATTTTTATATTTTATATTTTATATTTTATATTTTATATTTTATATTTTATATTTTATATTTTATATTTTATATTTTATATTTTATATTTTATATTTTAATTTCAAAAATTAAAAATGCGATAATAATAAATAATAAAATTTTTTATTTTTAAATTTAATAATTTTTTCGAAATTTAAAAAAAAATTAAAATTTCAATTATATTAATAAAAAAATTTCTATTAGAAAATTATTAAAATTAAACGAATATTATTAATATTAAACTAATATTATTAATTTGATTTATTTTTTAATTTTTAACTTTTTTAATAAAATGAATTAAATATATTTAAATAATATTTTTCTTTTATTAATATAATTATTAATTATTAAAATATACTTTTAATATTTTTAAATAAATTATTATTAAACGAATTATATAATAATAATAATAGTCAAGCTAAATCCTTAATTAAGCCATCCCTAGTTCAGATGCACTTGCTCCTTTTCCTTCTCGCACCATATCCCCCTGCTCCATGCACAGGGCGATCTTGTGCGGCCAGCGCTAACCCAATCTGAAATCTAAGAGGGACGCGGTCCTCAGCTAAGGTCCGGCTCCAATCGCACGAATCGCCCCCCAGTATTCCCAAAATGAAAACTCCGAACTTTGTTGTTGCTGTGCGGGACGTTGGCCTTGCATATGACATATTCTGGGATGCGATCCCGGTTGAGTTTGTTTTGTTTCATTCATACCGTTCCAGGCCTCAATAGGCCCCATGCGGGATGGCTAGCTAATACCAGGGGCCTCTTCCCCACCTCCACCCTGAGGCGTCGAAATCTTTCCTGACGGACGTTTCATAATCCAGCATGTGCTTGATTGGAGCGATCGGTAGTCTAGCAATTCAGTATATATCAGCACTACTTCTTCGGCTATCCCATTTACAGGCTGGAGGCTTGGAAATGTACTATGTGTAGTGACTGTTCTCCCGCACGAGCAGACTTTCTTAGAGGGACCAATCGACTCCTTGGATGAGCCCTCCCCTCACCATCTGCTGTGGACTTTTCCAGATGCGGTGAATGTGATGTGAGTCATCGACGCTGCCTTCCGGATGTAGTGCCGGAAGGGCCGGGCCGAGTAGTCAAAATCTGCACAGTGGCCTGCACTCTACTCTTGCCCGAATGCATATCTTACTGGTTCACATCATGGCCCGTTGGCCTCGACCCCGTTTCCTATCTGCAGCGAGCTCTAACTGGCACCTCCACTCGTGCCATTTCCATATATCTTTACCAACCTGGGTAGATAAAGGAGCTGCTGCACTTGGGCTCTAATACCTGCCTTCAGGCTGCAAAAGTGCTTCGGTAGCAAGTCGCACGCGCCAACCACCTTGCTATAGGAAACTCACAACCAAAGACTCAAACCTCAGCAATCTTCACACGCACGACCACCTTTGCTATAGTAAACTTACAACCATCTACTTTCCTACCATGGATTCTCGAAGGGAAGTCACCAACGCGGTTGTGAACACTGGGCCTGCCGGGGTCGGACAGCTGGTTGACACCGCCAATTTCCTCCAAACGAAAGCGTGAACAGAACCAGATGGAAAAGGAGGCCCGAGAGAGGGAGGCCCGAGAGAAGGCGGAGAAGGAGGCCCGAGAGGCGGCAGCGGGTGTTCGCCCCCCCCACAAAACACTCCGAACTTGTCATGATCTGAGATGCTGACGGCTGTCTATAACAGAAGGGCGGCGGAAGCTCCTAAACATTGACGACCCGCGAGCCTCTCTGCAATCCTTCCGGGGCCGACTTGCCAAAGCCATCCAACGACCCTATATATGGTCTGCAGCCCGAGGGCCATCTGCCATCGCTTTTCATTTCTTCGACAGCACGCCTGTCCTCGTTCGCAAACGCAATTTTGTTTCATTACAGTCCCAGTTCGTAGACGGGAGCGGCCCGCTCGGGAAGGTGCTTGGTGATCCTGGTTGCTTCAACCGAGTTTGAATTTTGGAGGCACTTTTAGGAGGCTGTTAATCTTTCTCGTGGAAATGCCACACACTCTCTCTATCTCGATTAGCCATACTTTAAATAGTTGTGCGCAGTATCTTTGTTGATGCCGCACGCTCAGAAAATGTCACTCTTTAGGCGTGCCACCCTTTTCTGCGGGGCGGGCAAAGCCCGTGCATACGCCGCTACGCCGGGCTTTGCCCTCGCCTGTAATGAACTCGAGTGATTCCTCGCTTCCTCTCTCAACCAAATCATTTTCCGCAAACATACTCCCAAAGGGTACACGCCCATACGCTCGACAACCAAAGCCTCCTCCTCCGTCATGGACATTAACCAGCGCATCGAACTCATCCACGAGGTAGAGTCGAAGCTTTGGGTCGACAAGGTGAACCAGAGGCGCACAAAACTTCTCCCCGAGTGGGTATCGACCTTCATCCCGATCGACTCCGCTGTCAAATCGAGGGCGACTTTCTCCATGGCGCATACAATGTCGGTCAGAAGGCGACCTTCAGCGACGGCACTGCCTGTCTGGTCCGCTTCCCTCGTGTTGGGAACGTCTGCGGTGATTATGCCGACGAGAAGGTTGCGATGGAAATCGAGGTGATGAGTCTCATCCACGAGAAGACCACCATTCCTGTCCCGCACATCAAGGCCTGGGGTCTTGCTGCCAGCAACCCGCTTGGTCTGGGTCCGTTCATCATAATGGACTTCATTGACGGCGTGAGCCTCAATGGCCTTCTTAAGAATCCCAACGCCGAACCTGCTACAAGACTCATTAAGGAGGACATCAGCGATGGCGATATCGAGTTCATCTATAGGCAGTTTGCCAATTTTCTGCTCCAGCTTTTCAAACTCGACTTTGACCGGATCGGCAGTCTACTATCGCCAAAGACTAAATTCTCCGCGCCGATACGCCCGTTGACATACAAGGTGCATAACATCATGCAGACTGGAGGAGTCGACACTTTCGGTACGGGCCGACGCTTTCTTATCCTCTTTTTAGTTCTTTTCATTTCCCTTCCCAAGGCTTCAAATCAAATACGTCTACTAACCAAACGATCTCTAGGTGACCGAAGCGAGGGGTTTTCGACGACGACCGAGTACTTCCACTCCGTCGTCGGCCAGGACTGGGAACAACTTCTTCACCAGCCGAACTCGATAGCTGGTGAATGGGACGGCAGAGCTAAGTACGCATCGCTGAGCGTCCTGAAATCTTTGATACCTGATTACGTTGATAAAAAGTACGATCATGGCCCGTTCAAACTTATTTGCGACGATCTTGGCCTGGCGAATATGATTGTCAAAAGTAAAGAAGACCTCGCGATCGTTGGAATGGTGGACCTCGAGTGGTCGTACATTGGGCCAGCCCAGCTGTTTGGCTCGGCGCCGTGGTGGCTTCTTCAAGATCGACTGAATAATTGGGACACCTCGTTGGACAAGGAGTCACCCGAGATCATCGCCCGGTTCTTCAAGTACCTAGAGATTTTCAAACGTGTTTTGGAGGAAGAAGACGAAAAAATGCCAGGGAATCAAGAGAAAGAGCTCTCGAACCCTGTGAAGCGGTCCGAGGTCTCGGGGGTTATGTGGCTCCATATGGTCCTCTCGTGCGGCTTCAACGACGCTCACAATCTGCCTTTCACGCAACTGCGACATCATATGGGTATTAAGGAGTGGGAGCGACGTAAGGAGGAATTCTATAAGACAGAAGGGATGGAAACATTCGTGACGCAGAAGTTGCCCCAGTTGACCCAATACGAAAAAGACTTCGAGAAGACGAAGGCCCATAAAGTCGACGTGAACAACAAAACGATGACGGGGGAGGAATTTATTGTTACACACCAACCAGTATCACGTTCCTAATTCCCTTGGTGAAAATCCTTCCCACCATTCAATTATAGAAGCAATTCCAAATCCAAAGCCCAGAAGTAGGCCACTTATTCATGACAAGCAAAGCAGACTCCTACAGCTGGATGCAATTACCACACATATTCTGCAGGGGGGAATGACTGCGTCGGAGGTGTTCAGGGAAATTGAAGTCCCATTCAGCGGAATTGTACTGGTAGTCGTGAGAGACACAAAGGCCGAAGAGGAGGTGTCTGTTCTGATACGGCGTCGTGCCTTGGTTTAAACGGCCATCCTTAGAGCCATCGCGACTTGAATGAGAAGTGATGCTTACGATTATATGAAGTTTGTTCTATTGCCACTTGCGCACCTCTACCCCTCACACCAGGCTTTCGATTCCATTCAGACGTTCATCCTAGTAGATGCCAATGGATAAATAGGCACATAGAGCTTGAGCTGCTACCTGTCTACCTGCGTGGGAAGCCTAATCGCCTCTGGGTCGGACCATGTTCCAGCGCGTACGTATAGCGGGCCGAGTCCTGCCTTGGAACTTGCCAAAATCCCACTCCCAAGACTTGCCCTCTTTTTTATATGCTAGCAAGCGCTACTCGTCTAGGTCTGACCATCAGCTCTGTTTACTCGTGCTCAAACGGCCCTGCTCGGCCTCGCTAGAGTCTTCATTGTCGCTGCTGAAGTCCGGATCGCCATAACTTGAATCGTTATTATCATCGCCGCTTGACGGCTCGACCATCTCTGATGCAGGAGCCCCAACGCCAACGAAGCAATTGGCCCCTTCTCCAGTTTAAGAATGACCGGCCCCTATACGAGGTCGCTTTTTGAATTTTGTCGAATAGCGCACCCGGATGGTCCCTTTACTCCGGTTAGGGAGGGCAGTAAAGATGTATTTCTACGAACGGCCTTCGTTCCATATCTGGAGCAGCTTTATATCCTCTTCTTCTATCTACGGAACCTTGCTCTTCTTTAGCTTTAACGGTACTTGATATATCTTGGAATATATAGTAGTATCGTAATTAATATCTAATACTACGGGATTAATTAGTAAGTAAAAGTATTCCGAGATTAATAGTAGTTTAAACTCAAGATTATATATTATATTATCCCCGATCCGGATATATTTGAGAAAGCCCTGGAAAGGCCACTCCTGATACTCAGTAACTAGTACCGCCTCTAATACCGCAGACGGACTCCGAGAAGTCCATAAGATATAATAGTAGCTATTATTAATAAAGGTTACCGGATATCCGTTCTTAGCCTGGGCCTATATATTATTAATCTTAGGTATAGTAGTCAAAAGTACTATAAGAGGGCCAGGCTATCCGAGGCAGAGCTCTAGGGTATATCTGTAATAAATAGTTAGAGTTATAGCAGGTATTATATATAGCTTTTATTACTTTATAGGTTATAGGTTCTTATCCCTAGTATTATAAGTATTATAATAGTTATTAGTATTTACGGAATAGTGGGTTTTACTACTAATTTTAGTATATATATCTTAGTATTTCTGTTTCTCTTCTAGCTTTCCCGTATTAGAATTACTATTTTATACTAGGCCTAATAGAATAGAGGAACTAGAGAGACTTCGAGAAGTTCTTGAAGTATAGTAGTACTCGTTATTAATTAGAGTTACTAGATATTTGAAATAGTTCCCAGACTATACTTGGCTTAAGGAACTAATAAAAGATACTATTTGAGACATATTTTATTAATAACCTGTTTCTTAAATTTTCTAAAAACGGGAATACTTATAGTATAATTATTTATCTTTAAATCTAATAAGTAATATAGAACTAAATAAGATTCTTAGTTAATCTTTAGTAACTTATATAGAGAGCTTATTAACTAAATACTCGAAAATTTTCCTGCTTTTATTATATTTATTATAATATATATAGTTATTAGTATAGCTATAGTTATTAGTATAGCTATAGTTATTAGTATAGCTATTAGTTATTAGTATAGCTATAGTTATTAGTATAGCCTATAGTTATTTAGTATAGCTATAGTTATTAGTATAGCTATAGTTATTAGTATTAGCTATAGTTATTAGTATAGCTATAGTTATTAGTATAGCTATAGTTATTTATAGTTATTAGTATAGCTATAGTTATTAGTATAGCTATAGTTATTAATTAGATATAAGCTTATAAGATATTATATAAATATAATTCTATAGTATCTATTATTATAATAGTAATACTAAGAATAATTCTCTGGCTAATATATTAAATAATAAGTAATTATATTAATACTATATATTTTTTACTATTATTATAGGCTTAAATAACTAGTCTTGATTTCTTAAGCTCTTTTTCCGTATCCTTATTCTTAATTTTATTAATAAACCGGAAGTTAAAAATATATATCTTTTTTAGTATCTGAGATCTAGAAGTAATCTTAAATATATTCTTTTCTTAAAGGCTAGTAACTTTAACTTAACGGGAATTCTTATATAGTTTATTGTCTTATAGGAATACCGTAATATCCGGGGTTTTATAAGGGCGTCCTCTATTATATTTTAGTGAAATAGCAGGAATAATAGAAGAAATTATACTTGTATTACCTTTAGTCTTATTATTAGGTTCGGGAATAGGTTTAGATTCGGGACTATTAATAATAACCTTAATATCTCTTTTATAAAAGAGCTTTATAGAGATTAAATAAAAAGTAGTATTACTATATAATAGAGCTAGTATATAGTTCTTTCTATTAATAGCTACTAGCTTATATAGTTTATTCCAATTACTAGATTAACTAGTATTTCCTTTATACTAAATGAGAATATTCGAATTCAGAAATAGTTTATAAATATTAGTAATACTAGAACTATTTCAGGTATTTAAAGCATTTGTAATTTAATATCTAGCTTAAAGCTTCTGAATTTCTATTATTGCTTTCTTAAATACTACTAGTTACTATAATATAATAAATAACGAAATATTATATTTGGTTATTTGAAATAAAGTACTATAAACTAAAAGAATTAAGATAATACTATTAGGTTCTATAGAGTTATTAATAGTCTTAAAAGCTATTTGGAATATAATATCCTTATTAATTCTATTAATTTCGACTATAATAATAAGATAAATATATTAGATTAGGCTATAGTAATATTTTATAATTCTAATAAAGTTATAAGCTTTTATAAGAATAATCTTAATCTTAGTTCCTATAATATTTATAAGCTAAATAAACTTCTTATTAGTAAACTGCTTTCTGGTATCTGCTATAATCTAATTAAAAGGGCCTAATTAATTATTAATCTAGTACTATTTAAATATATCCCAGATATATATTATACTAATATTCTAGAACTATTAGCCGGCTTAATATCGAGTGTTTTTATTAATAATATAGAATATAGACTTATTAGAAATATAGAAAATATTAATAATAATAGAATAATTAAAGCTAATATTATCTCTTAGATTAAACTTGAATTATTCGAGTAATTAGCTATATTTCTAGTATTATTTATAATACTTTATAAGGTATTTAAAAGCTTTTATATTAATATTATAGCCTACTTATTCTAATATATTTCGGAGCTTACTAATAAATAAATAACTAAAATAATAATATAGATATTATAATTTAATTTCTATAAAAAAGCAGGAATTATAAATAAAGAATTTGGAAATAAAGCTATAAGATATTTATTAGTAAGTAATAAGACAATAAAATAAATTAGTGAATTATAAAACTATAGTATTAAATTTAGTATAGAACTAATTTCTATTTCTCTTATAAGGTTTAGGGAGGCCCCCTCTAAATAGAAGACCCTAATAATATATATATAATTAGTAATTTATAAGCCTAATACTTATAATATAAATAGTAATTAGTTATAAAGTCAAAGAGCCTCTAATCTCCCTAATTAATACCTATAATATTCGAGGTTTATTATATGTCCTTAAGTTATATATAACTCTATATATATTATAACTATGCCTTCCTTCTAGAATCTTGTTCCCAAGATTTATTAATTCATTCTAGTAAATATTTAATTAATTATTTATTTAATTAAGGTAAACTTCTAGTATCTTAAGAGATAGTTTTACTAATATAATCTGGATAATAGATATAAAAATTATCTAATTAGATTAGAGCTAAGTAAGCAAGAAGAAAGAGTAATTATATCCCAGATATAGGGGCTAGCCAGTAATTGCAATTTTATTTGGGATCTAAGTATCTTAATTAGCTTAATCCAAAGTACTAAGGTACTACTCTATGAAATTAATACTACTTATTAGATCTCGTATTAGAATAATCTAAATAGCTATATAGAAAGAATTTAATAAATATTTATATAAGAAACTTATATAAATATTTCTGAGATCCTAAAGATTATTTATAGGCTCCTAGAAGTATATATTAATTAGTTATACTAATTTCTAATTAGGACTAGTATAAAAACTAGTAGTTAATTCAAGTAGTTCTTTATTTCTATAAAAGAACCTCTTTATATTACTATATATTCTCTTTCTTTCTAATAATTATATATATAATAACTTTTTCTATTATTACTTTCTAGCTTCTTCTTTTATTCTTTTCTAAGTCTTTTTTAATTATTTTTAATTAATTTTATAATATCTTTTTCTGGCTTTATTATTTACTTATATAATAATAAGTATAAAGGTAACTTTATAGCCTTCTTTCCTATTACTAGTAAATACTTGAAATATTTCAAGTATTTACTTATTAATTTCTTTATCTTATATACTATAATACCTAGTAAGAAGAATTATAACTATTATAATAAGGATTCTAAGTTTTATATATTAGTAAGTTCTTTAGCTTTAATATTTATTAAAGCTAATATGATTTCAGATTTCTTATTACTTATTAGAGGTTTATTAGTTCTAGAAAGATATTATTATAACTTTTAAGAAATTTCTCAAAATATATCCTAAATAGTATTATACTAACGAGAATAATACTATTAATTAGGTTTTTAAAAACTAAAAGAATACTAATAAGCTTCGGAATTCTTCTTTCTATTTTAATAAGGCAAATAATAATATTACTTGAATTAGTATCCTAAAAGTAAGTTTTTTCTAATATATTTAGGTATTTACTAATTTTTTAAAGAAATACTATAATATTTATCTTTAAGGTATTAATCTTATTACTAAGCTTATTACTAAGATTACTAAGTAATCTATTACTAGTATTTTAAGTATTAATAATATAATACTTATAGCTATTCGAAACCTGACTTTAGAAATTCGGGCCTTTTATAAAATATATATAATTATTATAAGTTCCTTACTTATTTCTCTTAATATTCTTAATACTAATATTATTATAGTATAACTATATCCTATTAAGAAATAAGCGGATTCCGGAAAGTATTAGCTAATTCTTTACTAAGTCCTAAATAGGACTAGTATTTAGTATTTTTGCTTTGGAAATTAGGAATTTATAAGAATTAGAGTTTATTTATTTGAGATACCTATAGCTAGTCTATTTATAATAAACCTTTTTTAATCCTAAATCTTTTTCTAATAATTTAAATATAATTCTTATAAGCCTTAATAAAATCCTAGAAAATCTTTATAAGTAAAAAAACCCAGGAAAAAAATATTTCTATTATTATTTCAGGCCTTTTCTTAGCTATTTAGGTTCTCTCTTTCTTTTAAGTAGCCTTTTTCTTAGTAGTTCAGAATTCTTTTTAATCTTAAGCAATTATTAAAAGATAGTTTTAATTATATAATTTTAGAAATTCCTTGAAATTTTTAAGATTAGGGAAAGCAGATAACTAGATATTATAATCTTTAGGCTAGGCTTTCTATTTAATTAAATACTATTACTTCTTACTTCTATTATTTTATTAATAATTAATAATAGCTTCTATTTCCTATTCTTGTTTTTTATTATTATTTACTAATTCCGGAAGTTCTTTAGAAAAATATAAATATAACTTCTAATTCTTTTTTATTATATATTTTTTAAGAAAAGAAATATAGAAAATTAAATATAAATAATTATATATATTTAATAGTTTTAATTTATATACTAAATTACTAATATATTTAAAAATCCTAAATAGATTTATAAATTTTGGTTTAAGCTTTCCTGTTTTAAGTTTAATATTTCTTATTAATAGTATTATTTAGGCTTCTTTAAAATAGTATTTAGCTAACTAGTATTTATTATAATAAATTTCCCGGTTATTTTATATATAATACTATAAATCCTTAAGCTTTCTCTATTCTATTTTAAGGGTTTCTAGCCTCTTATATATAGCTAGTACTTCTCCTATAATCCTGTCTTTAGGATTTTATAGAAATTAAGGATAATATCTATAATATATATAGAAAGATATATTTTATAAAATCTAATATTTTAAGTTATTATATATAAATTCTATAAAAAATAACTTTTTAAACTAGTTATTTTTTTAGATATTATAATAATATCTCAGGTAATATTTTAAGGCCTAGTTTTGCCTTTCTATTTAATTATTTATCTAAGAATAATAAGCTATATTCAAATACTATTTATATATTAAATAAAAGCAAAAAGCAAACTAGAACTAGCTAGTAAATACTATTTCTCGGTTAGAAATAATTCTATTAGAGGAGCTAAAAATTAAGAAAACATATTTCTATATAATCTTAGTAAGCTCCGGAAAATTAATAGTCTTATAATATATAATATATTTTATTATTTTAGAATACCGGTTAATAATTATAAGAATTATATTAAAATCGAAACCTCTTATCGGGTTCTTATATAATAGTAAACCTATAATAAAATCTATAGAAATCTTATTTCAAAGTCTCTTAGGCTATAGTAAATTACTAAGTAAATTATATAGTAAATGCCTTTTTACTTTAATTTTCTAATAAATATTATATTTTTAATAATAATTATAAATATCTTTTTCTATATTTTCCTAATACTAGAACTTTCTAAAAAGCTCGAGAGTTTTCTCTATTCTATAGTATCTGACTATTAGGTTATTATAATAAAGTTTTATAATTTCTTAATATAAAGCAGGATTATTAGATATAATAATTCTTAAATAGTACCTAAATAGGCTCGAATTATTTTTCTAGATTTCTTTTCTCTTAGTATCTTTCTTACTAAGCCTCTATTTTATAATATTCTAATATCGAGAATTATTTCTCTAAGCTACCTGAATAATATCCAGAAGAAATTTAGATAAAGAGGCTAATACTATAGCTCTTTTAGTAGCTATATATATCTATATATAGGGAATTAGGTATTTATAACTATCTAATTTAAAAACTCGAGAAACCGAGAAGTCTTTAGTTCTATTAAGTAATATAATTATAGATATCCCTATTACCTTAGCTATAATAATAAAGCCTTTAAGGCATTTCCCTATATCTTATTTCTTAACTAATTCTATAGTTAAGAAATCTATAAGATAATTTATTTGCTTATCTTATAATAAATATTTCTTCTTAGCTATTACGAATATAGTAAGTATTAAATAATATTTATTCTAAAAAAAGAACTCTTTAGATATTTATAAGAACTTTTAAATTATAATTATAAAAGCTTTCTTTAACTTATTCTAAAAGGTCAGAAGCCAAGTTATATTAATAGGACCTTCTTTATAATTAGGTTTTTTACTAGATCTATTTACTAGGTTTAAGGCGCTTTTATAGTAAATAATATTAAAATTATATATTATAAGATATATTATCTAATATACTTAATAGCTTTCTAGATACTTTATTTTTATAAAGTATTAGAGGTTATTATAATCTATAATAATCTTAATTATAAACCTAAATCCTTTAAAATAATAATACTAATACTTAAAGGCTTTAATAATTATAAGTAGCTTTCTATTATAAATACTATAATTATATTTGGCTCCGGAAAGTATTCGGGACTAGAATACTACTAGATACTAGTATTTTTTCGGGCTATTACTAGAATTAACTTATTATAAAATAGTACTAGTAATTACGAATTTCGATATATTAGTTTTAATACGAATTTTCTTAGAAAAGTTAAAATAAACTAGAATAGGTATTATAATAAAAGCTTTTTTTAAAGTTTTAAAGCTTTTAGCTACTTTATCTATTTATATAAAGAAACCGGATTTCCGGCCCTTTTCTATTCTTTTTAAGAAATCTATTAAGCCTATAATTATCTGAGAGTAATAGTAAATAAACCTATAGTAGAAATTAGTAAATTCAAGAAATACTTAAATATTATAAAATAATTCTAGTTCTGGCCATTTAATAATACTATAGACTTGTTTAGGATTCATATAAATACCTTCTATTCTAATAAGGAAGCCTAAAAATTCGATTTTCTTAATATTAAACTCGTATTTACTAAGTTTATAAAACAGGTTATTTTTATATAATCTAGTAAGTATCTAGTAAATATAATTATAGTATTTATTCTTATTTCGAGAGTAAATAAGGATATTATTTAAATAAATAACTATGAAATAATTTAGAAGCCCTATAAATATAGTATTAATATATATTTGAAATATAGCTAGTATATTAGCTAGTATGAAAGGGAAACTATAATAAGACAAAAACCTATATAAAGTATACTAGAGTATAAAACGTAACTTAATAGCAAAATAATAAATCAAAAGCGTAAATAGTAAAGCATAAATAGTATATAGTATACAAAAGCTCAATTAATTAAATACTTATAAAGAATTATTCTCTAAGTCTATAGAAAAACCAGCTTTCTTATATAATTTCCGCAAGTCACGTGCAAAAGGCCGCGGCCTTTATTATGTGACCTAAACCTTAAAACCGCCAAAATAATATAATTTTTAACGAGTACGGCCTGCTATACTACACTAGCCCAAAAGATATTATAAGATATTTAAAATAGCTATAATAGGTTCTAAAAGCTGTTTTCTACTCGTATTCTTTACGAATTCTTACCTAATAATATATATTCTTGAGATTTAGCTTTATAAAAATCTTGGCTTCTCGAAACTAGTTAAGGGTCTTATTAATAAGAGGAAGCAAATACTAATTCTTAATTATAACTTAGTTAAGTCTATAATAATTAATATAAAAGTATAGTTTTCTATTCTTAGGAATAAAAAGAATAAGTATCCTTACTAGGCTTTTACTAGGCCTTATCTAATATTTATAAAGTATATCCTATAAATATAGATATAATACTTCTAGTTAGGTCTCTAATAAATTATATAAAAGCCTATATAGGACTATACTATCTATATTAATAAAGTATTTAATACTACTAAGATTAGGAAGTTCTAAAGCTTTATTAGGATTAAAAATCTCTAAGAAGTCTTTGTATTTATTATTCCGGAAATAAATAGGTATTTCTAAGACCTGTTTCCGGAGGATATTAATCTGCTATATTAAAAACTTCTATTTAGTATTACTAGAACCATATAATAAAGTAAAGACCTAGTAATTATTATAAATATATAAAGCCTATTATCTAGAATAGTTATATTTGCCTTTAGTTAAGAATAAAACTTGAGATACTAGCTCAGGGTACTAGTTAAGCTCCTTACTAAATTCTTTTAGTATTAGAATCTTAATATTATTAGGCTATATAAATATATATACTTATTATTTCTTAATATAGTTTATATATTATATAAGAGTTATTTTATAAAATTTCATATTAAAGATAAGGCTATAAGAGCTAATATTCTTATATCTATAGAACCGGAGCTTAAAAAAATATATCTTACTATAATTATCTATAATAAATACCTTAAGATTATAGGCTTAATAGATCTTAAATTAGTTCTTATAAAAGATTATAAATTCTTGGTTATATTTAGCTAAGGTAATAAAGCCCCGGCTTTAAGTCTAATTATTATTAAGGAAGTTATAATCTAACCTAATATTACTGAGTTTATTATATATCTTCGAGGCATTTACTTCTGGCTATATTAATTTTACTTAAATAGTTATATAAAGTAATATATCTTTTTTATTATAGCCAAAATTATTAATATTTAAGATTTGGCCTTTTCTTTTCTTTATTTCTTAAGAAAGTCTCCTCTAAAGCACTTCTCTATAGCTATAGTATTAACCTGCTTTTATAGATACCTTGACTCTTCTATAGTTTTAGCCTTATTAGGGTTTACTAAGCCTATTTAATATATTTGAAATACTTTATACTTCCTAAAAAGTATTCTTTCTATTTATAAGTCTAATAAATTATATCTAAAATAGAACTAGTATTTTATTAAGGCCTTAAAGGAGCTAAAGTACTACCTAAGGATTTCTTATATAATTTTTAGAACTTATTCTTTCTTTTTTAATAGCCTTATAAATTAGAATTTACTAAGTTAGAGTTTTTAGAGGCAGAGTTATTCTTATTAGACTTCTCTGTCTTTACTCTTTTTAATTTAGAATAAGTAGTATACTCTGCTTTCTGAGCTTTCTTAAGCTATTTGAAAATAGATACTGCCTTATTTCCTAAGAAAATAAATACAAGTATCTAATAAGTCTTATAATTAGATAAAGTAGTATTAAAAGTCCAGATCCGGTTTCTTTTAGGATATAGGTCCTGGTTAATTTCGAGATTAATTATCCGAGTATATAACTCAATAACTATCTTATTATTCTTTTAATAAAGATCTCGGAGTTCCTTAAAGGCATCTTATTAATAGGTTTAAGGTACTTAAAGTATATTAGCTAAATAGGCCTTAAATTACTTCTAATAGACCTTATATAATAGTAGGCTTTACTTTATTATAGTCTCTTAAGTATTATAAGATTTGTTCCTAAAAGCATTTATAGTAAAGTTAATTCTAGAAGAGTATTTATTATAAGTTTAAGATTAGATCCTAAAAACTACTTTCTAGGAAAATATAAATATTCTCTATTTCTTAAAAGACTTTCTATAATATAAGTCAGGTATCCGGACCTTAAAAAGCTTTTCTCGGTCCAAATATATTTTTAGAATATTATATAATAGCTTCTAATAAATAGTATTAAGATTATTCTTAAAGCTTATTATATTAGAAAAGGAAATGGGTTCTAATTCTATTTTAGGAAGTTCTCTAATAGGAATTACTAAGGAAAATAGAATAGATTTATAAATAGAGTTTCTATAAGATATAGTAAACTACAAGATATCTTTAAAAAATACTCTTATATTATTTTAATTATAGGATATATTAGTTAATTATATTTACTAATTCTTGCTTTTATTAAAGCGCTTTAACTTTAGTATATAAGCCCTATTTTATAGCTTGAATAATAGTAATTCAAATATTAATCTCGGTATCTTAATTATTACCGGGATTATTTCTATTATTATTACTGGCTTTTAGAAGTTCTTAAGAAACCCTATTAAAAGTATTAGATAAGCCTTTATTATTACCCGTATTAGAATTAATCTAGTTAATTTCCTCTATAGAAATAGCTTTAGTAAGAAGTTATATATTTCGCAGATTTCGAGATATAATTACTTATTAAATTATTTCTTTTAAAGATAAGGAAATTAGCTTATAAGGTATTTATTAGTAAGTAATAAGATAATAGAATAAATTAGTAAGTTATAAAACTATAGTATTAAATTTAGTATAGAACTAATCTCTATTCCTTCTATAAGGTCCAGAGAAGCCCTCTCTAAATAAAAGGCCCTAATAATATATATATAATTAGTAATTTATAAGCCTAATACTTATAATATAAATAGTAATTAGTTATAAAATTAAAAGGCCTCTAATCTCTCTAATTAATACCTGTAATATCCGAGGTTTATTATATATCCTTAAGTTATATACGACCCTATATATATTATAAAAGCCTTATAGTATAGTATTTTAAAGCAAGAAAAAGTATTTGAAATATTATATTATAAGTATATATTTTCTAATAAAAGTAATAAGATAATTAGTAAAATTATTAAAATAGATCTCTAGCTTATTTATATTAGCTAAGCTAAATAAAAATAGAATCTTTAAAGATATAATATAAAATTATACTTGCCTAATTAATATATTTACTATTATAAATCTAATAAAAAATATAAATCTAATACTAAACTAGATATTAACTTAATTTTTAGTAATTTTATTAAGTTTAATACTATTATTAGTTTACTAAAAAGCTTAGAATTAGTTAAAACTATTACGGTTATTATAATATATGGTACTAGTAGGAGTTAGACTAGAGCTAGAGAGGCATCTAGTATCTGAGTAAGGCATCTATAGTTACCTGATTATTATATATAACCCCGAGCTTAAGCTAGTATATAGGTCCGTATATAGCTTGTAATTATTTAGATCCGAGGCTCCTTCGGGATCCTCTTCTTTCTTTAGCTTTGAATTATTAAAATAGAAATAGTCTAATTATATCTTCCAGGCCCTAGATCTTATACTTATAATATAATTCAAAGCTTACCTATTTCTTAATCCTATAGAAAATTTAAATAATACTTACCTGATTAGTTTTTAATAAGTATAGATATAATATACTATAGCTACTCCCGAACCGGTTAACTAATATTAGAATAAAAGAAAGCCCTAGAATAACTAGGCAAGAAAGCTCTGGACCGGCCAGATAAGCAAATAGGCTAGTAATCTTACTACTAAATAAAGATCTATAAGAAAGCAAGTTCCGGAATAACTAGGCAAGTCAGAAGAAGCTATAGTATAAGATACTACTAGTATACTACTAGAAGATAGACCAGAGCCTCTTATTAAGTCTTTTAAGGGGTCCGAATATCCCGTTAATATTTATAATAGAAGAGATATTCTTTTCTAGAGAATAGAAAAAGAAGAAAGACCTGCTTTATTAAAAACAGAGTTCCAAGAGTTATTTTAGAATCTAGAGGCTTTATATAAAGAAATTATTAAGCTAATTCTAAAGATATATAATATCCTTGCCTATAGTAAGAATTATTGGGATTAGCTAAAAGAAATCAAATAAGTCCTATAAAAGAACAAAGCCATTATTAAGAAGCTTATTATATAGCCTGCCGGAATAACTAGTTCCCCTATTCCAGAAGATAAATACTTAGTTAAACTCCCTAACTCTCTTATTTTCGAAGGTATAACTAAGAATAGTATTATTTTTAATAATTAGTTAGTTTAGATTAAGAACAAGCTCTATAGTAACTCTAATACCTATTAGATAGAGGATCTCAAGATTATTTATATATCTGGCCATATAGGTAGCTATATCCTTATACTAATCTCTCCCTGCCTAAACCAGGATAGTTAATATATATATGAGACTATTAGGGAACTATATACCTATCTAGAAGAACTATATAGTAACCCGAATAAGAAGTATAATACTCGGCAAGTATTTAAGGAGCTATTTATAAAAAAGGGCTAGACCTTTTAAAAATTCTATATTCTATTCCTGAGGTATATAGTAGACGGAAATATTAACCCGCAGGACCTTAAGAATAACCTAAATAATAAGCTTATCTGGAAGCTCTAAGAGGCCATAGCTATATACTATAATAATCCGGCTATCTATATTACAAAGTTCGTATAATATTATATTATAAATAACTAGTAGATCCGAGCTTGCTATAAAAAAAAAGAATAGGTATTTAAGAAAGCTAATAAAAATACAAATAAACCAAGCCCAGAAGGCATTCCTTATATAAAGCCTACTTCCAAGACCCTAGTAATAGATAAGCCTATTGCCCCGAAGCCCGGATTCTCAGATCTCAAGTACTATAACTATAATGAATTTGGTTATATATCTAGAAACTATCTAGAGTTCAAGATAAAATATATAAAGCAAGTTTTAATAGCTAAGCTAGTAGTACTTACTATAAGTAAGCTATCCAAGGATATAGAATAGAGAAACGAGGACTCCTAAAAGAAGTCTTCTCTTTAGGGCCATATTATATAAATATAGCAGAAGTTAATTTGAGCTAGTTACTAGGAGATAAA